TACGACATAACATTTGAATAAAATTATAAACACTAAAGTTACTGGAGTCGCATTTTTGTCCACAACTTTTATTTTGATTATAGATTTGGAATTATTTAAAAGGCACTTCTAATACTATGATTTAGGTATTCTTGTAGTTACTGTTTTAGAAAAAAAAACATAATTTAAATTTTAAAACTTGATATAAATTAGAGCAACCAATCAAAATTAATCTAATCATACAATACACCTTTACAAAATTATTAGCAATTACATAAATTAAAGCAAGCTAGAGTAATGTTTCGCAATATTTTGACTTTAAACTCATACGTGAGTTTTATGAAAGTTATTGGGTGAAAAACTAAGAGAGTCACAATGTGGAAATTGCGTAAAGAAAGTCACGAAAATCAAATAATCAATATGTGAAGAAAATAAATATTGTAGAGGTTTTTTTGAAGGAATATTATAGAAGTTAACAAAGGAAGGATGATGAATGATATTGAAAATTTAAAATCTAAAATAGTGAACTTTGAGCACCAACTCGATCATCAGAATTGCAAAGGATAGCCGATAAGTTGAATATTGTTTCAAAGTACTAGAGAGAATAAGTGTCATATACTAATGTACTAATATTCATATATACTTAATATATTAAATAATAAATACATAAACTATTAAAATATATAAGTTAATTGTGCGGGTCGGGTAATGGTGCGGGTAACCGTATCCAAATTAAACGGGGCGGGTAACGGGGCGGGTAACGGGGCGGGTAGGTATAAACCCATAACCGCCCCATTACCCGTTTACATAAATCGGGTATTCCCCGCCCCGTACCCGTTACCCAGTCAAAACGGTTTTCCCCATTTTGACTGGTTCGGTTCGGTGCGGGTATCCATCGGGTCGGGTTAAATTGCCATCCCTACTTACGTATCTATCATTGGGCTTGAAATAGAATTTTTGATAGGGCCGACCCATTACTTTAAGAACTCAATTTATAATTAAATTAATTGACATCTTAGATAATTCAAATTAACTAAATCATTAAATTTTATCTCAAGATATCCATATCACTATTTTTCTTTTGATAAGACCCAAAAACCATCATGAATGATTTAATATAATTGAAATTGATCCATTAACAATTAAATGAGACCCAATGAGATCGAGAATAATCCGGTAGTATTTAAGGAGACTCAATAAATTGGTGATTTATGAACTCATGATCCACTAATTTTCACATTTGTAATGAGTCGTTCATATGTTCCACTAATTTGTCTCTTTTATGCATCTCTGTTGAATCTTCTGTGCTCCGTTAGTTTGGTATTCAATAATTAATTATGGTATTCATTATATAGCATATACAGAATAATGAGGTGAAGTTTGTACAATGCAAATTGATCCCTTATAATTCTCTATTGCAATTTAAGCTATAGAAGCTGTGAAAGTTGTATTCACACGATGTTTGACCAAATTATTTTTTACCTATAGTTATTCACTCCTATGAAGATCTTATGGTCCATAATTATAGTCTACTCTGTGTTATCTATTGAAAACTATTTTATAATTATAAAGTGATATTTTTGTGCATAAAACAATTTCACTTCATGTTAAAATTTATCTTATGAGAAACAAATTAAATGGTATATTTGACACCAGGATGTTCATTAGGTCTCCTTTGAGATAAAGACCATCCAATGATGAATACTTATTATTGCTTATGAATCTCATGAGTTGAATCTTACATGCTAAAATTGAGCTCAAGAGTTACAAAGATGCAAAACAAAGGCCATTACTTGGGCGGCAAAGGTAATGTGGGTGTTTGGCAATTGGCTGTTGGCGATTGACTGTTAGCTGATTGTGTCAGCTGATTGATGACAGCGTTTTCTGTTGACTCTTTTGATTGGCTGATATTATTGGCTTTTTGTAAATTAGTGTTTGGTAAGAATGACTGTTTACGCTCAGCTGATAACTTGTAAAATGACCTATAAGGACATCAATTAATTATTAGTTGTTATGTTTTTTTGTCGTCATACATTTTGTTATGTTATTAGTACGTACAATTAATTACTTAAAACATTTGAATGATTTAAAAAAGAAATGCTTAATTACACAAATAATAATTCTTTTAAACAATTTTTCATGTATTAATAAATATTTCAAGAGTTTGACCAACATTTCAATAGTTTAGAGTTTTGCACTTTTATCAATGGGATGCACTTCTACGATGTTGTTTGGCAACACTATTTTTCGGCTTATCAGGCTTATCAGCCAACTTTTTCACCAAACACGTAACTTTTGCTTTCGCGTGCTGAATTGTGTAATAAGCAGAAAAAGTAAGGTTGGAGTTACTTTTCTGGCTGTATAACTTGTATTGGCTGAAGTTACTGTAGATGACAATTTTAGCTATTTTTACATATAATTTTTTCTTTATTTTATTAATAAAATATATCTTAAAAATATTTTTTTCTTAAATCAACAGAATCAGCCAATGCAGCCACTTCAGCTAGAACTTCATAAATTTCAGCAGAATCAGCCAAAACAGTCGATTTTCATGCTACCAAACGGGCTCTACAATTTTGATCACTTTAAAATATAATACGAGTAGATCAGATAAAGGTTTCTAGTAATGTACTTCCTCCGTTCTTTTTTAATTACAATAGTCAACATTTCATGTTTGCCAACGTACAAGTTTGACCATGAATATCTTTCATTCCTTATTAGTAACAAATTTAAAAAAACATATTTTGAAAATTTAGAATGAGAAAAATTTAACAATATTTTTTATAAATTTAATTTACAATACATTAATTAATAAAATATAGTCAAAGTAGAACATGTGAATAGTGCAAAAAGTTCAATTTTGCAATTAAAAGAGAACGGAGGTACGTAGTAGTATTCAATTGAAGATTTGATGGTCCGTCTTGGGTGATTTTAGGGATGGACTCGGGCCGGGCCAACCGGCCCGGAACCGGACCGGCCCGCTACTGTGCGGGCCCGGACCGGCCCGCTACTGTGCGGGCCCGGACCGGCCCGGTGAACCGGTTCGGTTCCGGTTCGGGCCTCCCGGCCCGGTGGTATACCGGTCCGGGCCCGGGCCTCCAGTTTAGTGAACCGGCCCGGCCGGGCCGGGCCCGGTTCGGGCCGGAATTTAATTTTTTTTTTTTTGAAATTTTTTTAAGTTTTGGGTTGGATTAGGTATTTTGGGCCATTTGGGGTGGTTTGGGGTGGAGGGGGAGGGGTAGGGTGTTAAATAAGAGAAGAAGAAGAAAAAAAAAAATAAACATTCCGGGTGGCCCGGCCCGGCCCGGCCCGGCCCGGTTCTGGCCCGGAACCGGAACCGGAACCGCCCACCACCGGTTCGGGCTCGGGCCTCCTTTTTCTGAACCGAGGCCCGGCCGGGCCCAGGCCCGAACCGGGCCCGAACCGGAACCGGTCCACCCCTAGGTGATTTGATGATTGGAGAAGAAGCCAGCGAGTCAGGTCGAAGAAAATGGATGTGGGCAATCTTGGGATTTCCAAACACAATGCTATATGATGTTTAGCATCATAGGCGTTTTCCATTTTGGGTGTTTGGGTCTAAAAACCAAATCAAAATGCTATTTTACCAAACACACATGTTGGCTGTTTGATCTAGTCAAAACACCAATAATGATCAAATCAGCCAAAAAAGGGTTGAAAAGCTCTTAACCAAACACTCTCAATACTTAAGTACATAACACCGGAAAATAAATAAAAATAACAATATGGAAAGATTAAAGAACATAGATGTCAAGATAGAGGATAAAAAACAAAGAGAGGAAACGTTTAGGGAGAAAAAGGAAAAAGATACATATGAGGCTGTTTTTATAAGATCCGTGAGTGGCATTTTTATTTACTCCGTAATATTTTTCAAAGAAAATGAAAAAATCTGGAACAAAATGTCACGATCGGGAACCAGCGAAAACAGATGACGTGCAAAAGTACAATTGTTTTTTTAGATTATGGTTAATTCAGACTATATTATGAGAAGAGCGTGAAAGGTGAGATTTTATATAGTCTTTATTATATTATTCTTTATTATATTAATTTATCTATTTTTATTTTTTCTTTATAATTTTTTTCTATTATTGATTCTGTCTAAATCACTACTAAACATATAAAATTAAATACTATGTATGTTTACATGGCATATAATGACTATTATAAACATACATCATCTATAATTTATTTTATTTGTATATTTAGAAGGCATAGTTGTTGGATTTTAGGGTTTTTCATTTTAAGTTTTAATTAATTAATGTGTTAGATATTAAGTAATTCGGTCTTTTCATTTTTGTTCTCTTCAGATCGAGTCTATTCTTATCAACTAAAAACTATCTCCAAATGTCTTTCGGTGTATACAATTATTGGAATGATTCGAGATCAGTATAGAATTATTGGAAGATGGCCGCTGATCAGCCAACTTTTAGCTAGTTTGACTAAAATCAACTGATAGAATTGGTCAAAAACTAATGTTTGGAAATTATAAAGATGATAAAGAACTTATTAGACCGTCACAGACAATGTTCACTGTTAATATTCTTGGTTTTAGTCTTTAGAAATGAATGATGGACAACGAGAAAGTTGACAATGTATAACATTAATCCATGTCACTTTTTTTCCTCTCCTTTTCTTTTTAAATAAAAGCTTATGAAAATATATGCTTGTAAACATAATATTTCTATAAGTTGTTATTTTCCTCTTGTATTGCAAATGGGTATTTATCAACAGTTCCTGGTTTCTAGTATTGAAGAAATAAATACTAATGTGCAGAACATTTGAGTCGTACGTAGTAGTGAATAGTTTTTTTTTATTTTAATTTCACTTGTTCTGAAATGTATAGAAATCGATTATTTGTTGATACAACTGTCTATGAGCATAAGAAATGATTTTAAATGAATACCTATTCCACCATTTTTACACAAATTAAAAATAATGTTATTTTGTTATTGCAATTGCTAAAGTAGTCAAGTTACTACTCCATTAAAGCCAACCATGTCAGCGCGGTAACAACAGCATAAATTCAACATTCAAATCTTCATTCTTCAACAAGTGTCTTGCACTGAATTTAATCCAAAGCTCCAAAAATAACATGTCAAAACATTGGAATAGCAAATGCTCAACGAGTGATTGTGCATAAAAAAGTGTAGACCGTATACAACAAATGACTTCAATTCCTATCTAAAGATTATGCAACTTGAGACACAATGTTAAATGGTAATAATGATTTGGCCATATGGATCTTTGGAACCTGGAGCATTAATCCAATAGTGCCCTGAAACTCGAATATCACCATTCTGGCCTAGTTGATACATACATTTTATCCAAGGCTACACACCAATCTGTAGTTGTGTTTCCTCTTTTCTTTCCAATCCATCGTTCCTTAGGGAAGGATTACTAAATAAATTAGGGCCGGAGAAAGCATTTCACACTGCAGGAGGTGAATTAATGTTTTCCAATTTCGGGGTGAATTTTCAAATTCATTAAAGATTTTACAAAAAAAATAGCACAGAGATATAGTCTAACAAAATCAAGTGAATGGCAGCTCCCCCCAGCTCCCTCCCTGAGGTAAATGATCCATAAAGAAAGGTACTTTGGCAGGCAATTCCTATATATGATCTCACCTCTTTGATCTTTTCTTTGCGTGTTTTGTAGCCAACGGCTCAGATTGATCCAACTCGAAATTTCGTTTACTCAATTGAGGAGTAGGAGCTGCAGCTCTCTTTGGTGGCCTATCAGAGACCTTCTTTGGAAGGCTTTTCTTTTCTTTTTCCTTGCTATCATCAACGCTGAGTGGGGTGCTCTTCAGTGCATGTATGAGTGATCCGCTGTTTGAAGAAGAGCTCTGCTTCATTCTATTTAGGAAATTGGCTGCACCTCGTTTCTTCAAGTCAGTGTTAGATTGGACAATCTTGTTATCATCGTTATTATTCTCACTTTTGGGTGGTTTATTCTCTCGCTTTCTTTGGGACTTTTCTGGAACAACTGCAGCTGATATTTTGCTAGGGTTGGTGCTGGCGAAATTCTTCTCGGTTCTGGTTTCTCGCGTTCTCTTCTTAGTGATAATTGGTCTATCGTCTGGTCCAACTACCATTTGATCTTTTTTATCAACTCCAGAGGAAGATATTGATGATTTTGGATGAACATTAGAACTACGCTTATGGCAAACAACCAATGATTTTGGATCCTCTTTGGAGGAGTGCTTAGGGTTTTCTTCTTCCTTACGGAATGGTTTTAGCTTTATAATAGACTTCTGCTTTAAGGGCGGGGAATAGAGCTTGGCTCTTGACATCTCCATGGAGATGAGCTGTCGAAGCTCTATCGCTGCAGTGAATTCAGATGTATTCTTCTTCCTGAAGAAAATGATGGCGTTGTTTACTAGCACCAGTAAATCACGAAAGAATTTGGCTTTGAAATCTATGTAATGTCCTTCTTCAAGCCATGTTCGAATCATTTCAAGATCAATATGTTGTCTGATTAAAAGCTTGTAATCTTCTGTTTGCTGAAAATATTGAGTCACAAGACCGTCACAATATATCAGGCAGGCTCATAGAAGACCAAGACCATTACGTAACATAATAATTTATGTTGGGAAAACTGTCAAATAGGTCCTCAAACTTTCATAAAAATGTCAATTAAGTCCTTCTATAGAAGGTTTTGTCCGGCCGTCGCGATTTGGGGAGGTTCTCGGTGGAATTATTTGAGCATAAGATGCTCAAAAAAAATCATCAAAAAAATCCACCGGGAACCGCCCCAAATAGCGATGGCCGGACAGAGTCTCCTATAGAAGGACTTAATTGACTTTTTTATGAAAGTTCGAAGACCTATTTGACAGTTTTCCCATTTATGTTTGTAAGTTCCAAATATAAAGCAACAATATAGAAAATGGAGTTTTTTTCCATTTTCAGTCCCCCGACTATTGTGCCAGTTACACTTTTGGTACACGACTTTTAATTTATCCATTTTTAGTCTTCTACTATTGTGCTAGAGACACTTTTAGACATCGACTTCAAAGTTTTCCAAATTTAGTACTCTGAGTATTATCAATTTGACACATTTAGTCCTTCCACTATGATATTGACGCAATTAGTGACGGACTAAAAATGTCACTATTATAATAGTTGAAATATCAAAAGTGTCACTTCTATGAAAGTCGATGACTGAAAGTGGAAAAGAACAAAGTCTGGTACCAAAAGTGTCAATAACATAATACTCCCTCCGTCCCATATTTATCTTCACAAGTACATTTGCACACATATTAAGATAGTGGGAAATGTGTGGTGAAGAGTTGTGCAGAGGAGAGAGAAATGTGTAAGAATGATTGTGAACCACAAATTCTTTGCCAAAAAGGGAAAGAGGAGATAAATTGGGGTCGGATGAAAAAGGAAAGTATGAAGATAATTCCGGGACAGAGAGAGTAGTTGGAGGACCAAAAGTGACAAAAACTCATAGAAAATATAAGGTACTCAACTTAGATTCTAAGGCATAACAATTACTACATATAAATCTTCATAAACTTCTTTTAGTAGTTGTCAAATAAGTTCAATCAGTTTGTATGTTTGTATACAAATTCGTTGTAACCTACTTATCAAAATAAAAATAATCCACATCTTATAAATTAAACACATACTACCTCGTCTCATATTGAATGTTTTGTTCTAATTTGACACGTTTATCAATGAACTCATTGCAAAGTTAAAGTTATGATGGGTGGCACATTGCCACATTGGGTAACTTATTACGTAGATCCTGCTCTGGTATTAGAGGAAAGCATCTCCTAGCCAAGTAGTGCTTGGCTAATTAGGGTGAAATTTTCTATTCCGATTTAATACGACTAAGTATGTTCTGGTCTAAATTGGTCTTAATATTTGTTTTATGTACTACCTCCATCCTGCTAAGATTGTCTCTGATAGAGTATTAATTCTAGAGAGAAGTGAGAGCTAGAGAGAGAAAGTGAGTAATTATATTTCTCAACACCCTATAATTAGCCTCTTGGGGTCTATTTATAGGTAAAAATGTGGATTTGGGCTCCTAGTCTTGGGCTTAGGAGGCCCATTACAATAATCATGCCTTCTTTGGGCGAACAGGGCCAAAGAAGGCATGATTATTGTAATGGGCCTCCTAAGCCCAAGACTAGGAGCCCAAATCCACATTTTTACCTATAAATAGACCCCAAGAGGCTAATTATAGGGTGTTGAGAAATATAATTACTGGGCCACTAATGGGCTGAGTACAACACTTGGTAGATAAACTATGAAAATACATTCTGTCTGGACAAAGTCCGGACGATGCGGCCCATGGACGATGCGGTCCATGGACGATGCGGTCCATGGACGATGCGGCCCCTGGGCCGTGGCCCAAGGGACCTGGGTGATATCTTCTCTTTTGGACGTTGCAGGCTTCTGGCCGATGCGGGTGTCCCGCGGGTGCCTTTTGGGTCGTTGCGTATGTGGGCCATGGGGTCCAGGCCCATATACTCTATCAGTCTCATTTTACCATTTCGGTCAATCCCACTAAGATTATCTCATATCTTATTTGGTAAAGTTTGTGTGGCTCTAAATCATTCTTACTTTATTCTTACTTTATCAATTCAACATCAATCACATAAACCACTTTTTATTTATTTACGTGTCACTTCCTCTTGTCCCATTGTTAGTGGCAGGGGGAGTATATATTATTACCTTTGTGTTGTTTAAAGTTTCTTATTGCAAAATGACACAGTTATTTAGACAATAATTTCATAATTCGAGTATATTTTGATAAATGATTTTGATGGATACATAATATAATGAGGTCATTGATAATAACAATTAATGTTGCATAGGTATGATTTTTAATATTTGATTGCATTGTCATTTAAAAATACGTAGTATTAATTTTGTTTCCTACATAGAAATGAAAAAAGGAACATGCAAGAATAGACATTGAGAACCGTACAATGAGAGTATGAGACGAATGATGTACTTTTGTATAAGTCTAATCTACTTTATTTAAATCAGGTCTAGTCCCTAAACATTGGTGTAGTTTTTGGAAGATACTACCTCTGTCTCCCTAAATTTGGGACAAAGGAGTGTAGTGTGATTTTTAAGAAAAAGTAGAATTGTGTGGTTGTATTGAATTGATAAAGTGTGAATAAATTAAGAATAAATTCTAACCACTCAAACATTACCTAATATGGTATGGGACAAACTTAATGGGACGGACGAAAAAGGTAAAACGGGACAAACTTAGGGGGACGGAGAGAGTATATAGTTATGCTTCCGTACTACTCCCTCCATCCCACCATAGTTACCTCATTTTACCTTTTCTGCTCCCCACATCACTCTCTTTTGTCTCAGAGGAATAGGGATGACAATTGTAACCGATCCGATGGATACACGCACTAAACCGTCCCGGTCAAAATGGAGAAAACCGCATTGACTGGGTAACAGGCACGGGGTGGGGAATACTCGTTTTGTTTTTACGGGTAACAGGACGGTTACGGTTTTATACATGCCCGCCCCATTACCCGTCCCGTACCCACCCCGTTTATTTCTAGTTATATTTTTATTACATTTTTATCTATTATTTGTCCCATAACTACTACCCCCTCCGGTTTTTAATAAACTTCACACTTTCCTTTTTGGGACGGTCTAAAATAAACTTCACACTTCCTTATTTCCTTTTTGGCAAAGAAATCTACATCAAAACAGTGTCAAACAATGCCAAACAGTGTCAAACAGTGTCTCAACAGTGCCAAACAGTGTCTCAACAGTGTCAAACAGTGTACTCTACAGTAAAGTCAAATTTCTTTCCTTAATTTGTGTGAAGTCAAAGAGTGATGTTTAATAAGAATCGGAGGGAGTAAAAGATAAGGTTTTTCTATTTTCATTGTGTATATATGGATAATAGATGTACTAACTATAACGTATGAGTGAAAGTTCATAATAGATCTTAATAGTCTTGTTTGAATATTATCAAATTTTGTTCATGATTAATTATTTTTCAGATTAAGTATTTATAAGTTCAAATTGATTTAGGTTGCTTTTTTTCTCGTCTTGTAGATATACGAAACTTTAAAGTGGCGCATGAGTCTAGAGTCAACTAGGTGATGTCACTTTTTGCCGAAGAAAATATTATTTCATATTAAAACATTAATGATTCATTTTATTAAATAGTGATTACTCGCGGTTACCCGTGATTATACCTGTCACCCGTTGGAAAATCACAGTTGGGAAACGGGACAGTTACAGAGCGGAGGAATTATCCTAACGGGACGAGTACGATTATATGTAAAACCGTCTCTGATCCGCCCCGTTGTTATTCAGAAAAGAATAAAGGCAATTCCTCACCTGGCTTTCGAGCTGGCGCGTGAACAAATAACCGTGCCTATGGCTTTCAATCTTTCGGAGAAATTTGATGAACGGCTGGTATGCAGCAGGCGTCGCTTTTGCGGTGGGAGAGCCATTCGTGTGCCCACGCTCATGGCAGCTGCGACTACGCGAATTCGCTCTATCGGAATTATCTGTATTCCTCGATTTGCTAACTGAGCTCTGCACATCAGAGTTCTCCTTCGTACCCTCCTCCCTGCCTTTTGACTCTGCTACCGATTCGAACACGTCACCCGAGTCCGTCACCGGTTCTGCTTTCACCGCCTCCAGAACCGGATTCTCCTCCACGCTGTTGGAGCTGCAATTACATGAACCCGGTTTACCCTCTACTTCTTTGAGCGGTTCATCTTCTCCATTTCCCGTTCGTGCCGCCCCGGAGTTTTTCCGATCGTCCTTTGCGCCAATTCGATTGTTTACGTCTTTTTGGTCCGTTGAGTTCGATGCATTCACCGACTGTTGGTCCTTCTCGCCGGTCAGTGGCTCTCCGGCAATCGATTCCGGTGTGATCGCACAGTGATCTTCGTTTTTATTCTCACGGCGGATTTCTCGATTCTCACCACTAATCGCCAGATCTGAGCTCTCACCCTCTGGGAGACTCCGATCTCTCTCCTCCGTCAGCGTCCTCACCTTCGATTGCAGAGACCTAGATCACAATCAGAGATATTTCACTTTTCTTCAGCAAAACAAAGCAATCATCATTCAGATCTTCAAATTTCGATACATATTTATGCAGATGAATGTATGGGAATATGCGAATTACAGGATGGAGAGGTCATAGCGCTCAACTTCGCGTTTCAATTCAGCGACTCGGACCTTCCGCAACTCCTCTAGCAAAGGGGCAGCCGTCTCAGTTCGTTCACTATGCTCATCACCGACACCGTTGACTCCGCCGGAATAAAAACGGCGCGTGAGATGGAAGTATTTCAGTTTACAGCTTTCAGGCGACAGCGTCATCATCGGAACGGAGCTCCGTTTCTGGAGTTCGACGGCGACGCAGTCCCAATTTTTGGTGCCGTGGCGGTTGACGGCACAAGCTAACAGCAGTTCCTCCCACGTGCTCCAACGTGCCTCCTGCTCCGGCGTGTTCTCCGACGTTCGGTGCGGCTTGTCCATAAACGAGTGCCAAAGATTGCCGGATGACCCGTACTTTCTGGGTGAATACCTCCGTATAGAGCAGTCTATTTTTTAATCATTTCCGTATAAAAAATAGTCTAATTTCTCCCTACTCTTTTGTCGGGCAAAGTTGTGCTGTCTTGCTTGTAATTTGTAGCCTCACTAATTTGTTCCTGATTGATCAAAACCCAAGGCCCATTTGACCACAATCCAGTTTGAGGTACACACTTTTCATACACTCACTTACACACTCGTATTTGTGTAGGGTCTTTTTTTACACACTCGTATCTGTGTAGGGTCTTTTTGTATCTGTATACAGACATAACATATTTTTAAATAATATACGTTGTGTCTGTATACAGACACAAAAAACTCTACACAGATGATAAAATTGCAAATAATTACTCATATTTACTTTTGATATTCAAATTTGGGATGAACAAATGCATTCAATTTTCTTATTATTATCCCTAAAACTCTAACTGCAAAAATGAGGGTCTTTTTATGATGCCTCTATTATTTATTAGTGTATTATACATTTGCCTACCCGGCTAAATAACAACCCTACACATGAATGGAAAAAGGTTCAAATAAGCATTTCTATTATGTCTAATCCGTCACTTAAGACTTTGTAATAAAAAAGTATCATATAAGTACGTCTACTTTACAAAATTGATCAATTTGACCATTTAATCAATTTTTGACTTCTAGTAGCAGGTTTTTAATATTTAAAAATTCAAAAAATAAATGTTAAAATTTGAAGAAATATACACAAAAATTATGAAAATTTTCAGAATATCAAAGTCAATATTTTTCATTTTTTAAAAATATTTTTGTATTCTACATCTTTTAAAAGGTTTTTAAATTTTTATTTTCAATTTTTTAGTTTCACTTTATTTTTTCAGTTTTATGATTTTTTTTATTTATTTTTAATATTTTTTAAAATTATAAAATCTATTTTTAAATTTATATTATTATTAGATTATTTATTCAAATTTATATGATTTTTTGTAAGAGTTATCAATATTCCTAATTTAATTTAAAAAAATAACCTTCTATAGCATGTCAAATGGCTTGGTTGATTGTGTGCTTATATGATACTACATACTTTTTTTAGTACAAGAGCTTAAGTGACGGATTGAAGATTAGTACAAGGACTTATTTGACCATTTTTCCACACATGATTTAAGAAGGTTTTTTCTAAAATATTACTAGCAAAAACATTATTAACAAATTTGTGATTATAAGTTACTATAAGTAAGTTTATAGTTATTATGATATAACTTTGAATACAATTATAGTCACTAAGGTTACTAGGATCATATTTTTGTCCAATTATACCTTTAAAATTACTTCTATTCTTAAAAACTTATAATAGCCAATGAAGATTAGAGCATTTAAGGAATAAAAAAATATTGGTGTAATCATCAAGCTTAATAGGGTTGTACAATATGATTTATCTCATGTACTGGACTTAACTTCAATTTTGATTTCCTTTTCTCATAGCTCCCGTCCGTTTTCTCTCCATCCCTCAAAGTCTGTTTACTTGCCTTACTATACTCCCTGCTATCACCCAAGCTACTCCCATCTGCGCCCTAACTAGTGATCACACCTAGGTAAACAATATGTTTTTAGAGAAGGTAAACAATACATTTGTGGCGCTAACCATGGAAAGAAAGAGCATGATGTGGAAAGAACTATCATCTAACCATCCAGGTATGTTATCATTACTGGAGGCTAACAATGGCAGAAGGGTCTTATGATCGGATAGGGTACGTTCATTTCCATCTTCTCTACTCTTCTCTTAGGAATATAAAATGTTTCTCGATTTGCGTGTATTCGTTCTTGTATTTGCCAAATTATTTAGAGAAAAGAGGCAAATAAGGCCACGTACTAACCAAAAGAGGTCAAATAAGGTCCTATTTAAGAGGCTCTGGCCGGCCGTCGCCATTTGGGGTGGTTCCCGGTGGAATTTTTTGATGAATTTTTTTGAGCATCTTATTCAGTAAGTCTAGTTTACTCATACCAAATTTCAGCTAAAACTTCAATCGGTAAGGCTAACAATACCAAATTTATGTGCACTCTTAAATCCTGATTCACTTATGTCTTTCACTTTGTAGAATTTTTATATTTAGGCTTTTGGCTCTTGGTGCTTTTGATTGCAAGAGGTAAAGAAAGAGCATTAGGTGTTTGTTAAATTGTCTAAACGAGATTCATCACACCAATTTATGGATGCTTTGATCATTGCCTATGCCAGATATTCATAATTACAGAAAATGTCAGTTCTTCTTTTGTTTCTTTTATTTTGAGTAGAAGATATTTGCTTCGAGTGAATCTAACAACCCACAATAACACTAATTCATTAAAATGAAAAGATAAACAACAAGTGAGGTAATTTGATAAACTCAATTTTATAGGTACCATTTTGCAGGCCTTCAATATTAGTTGTTTTAATGTAGGAGGTTTAAGTGTTAAAATTTTATTAACAGTAAGTCTATATCCTGATTACAATTCTGTGTTATTGTATATTACAGAACTTGCATTATTTCAACACAATTACGATAATAATGATCCCTTTGGTAGGTTTTTCCACACCCACAATGTACCCTTAAAAGTTTTATGGATTTATACTTTAGTGGTGCTTAGCCAAGCTTAGAGCTTTATTTGAAAATGAAAAGCTAAATGAGGGACGCAATAACACAAATTCACTAAATTAAAAGATAAACAACCAGTTAGGGAGTTTGGTTTGTTAGGTACGTTCTTTGGTTATCAAAGTTTTTGCAGCTGTATATTTGTGAGTTTCTATTGCTATTGTTACTTGTAAGTAATATTTTAACTGGAATAGTAAGTTTACCTCGTTCTTATTTTTCTAAATTATCTGGTATAACCTATATATGATCTATAAATTCTACAATGTGCCTTTTTTCTACAGATAAATGAGCTATGAGGTTTTATTATTACTTTGTAAGGTGTTCATAATTTCACCAAAATAGGAAACATCGTTATTGGTGGACGGATGAAAAGAGTGGGTTGTTCTCGGTTAAAAGTTGCTTTAGGCAGCTGACATTTGGACTGCCGACAGGGGGTTGGAATAGCTAGGTGCGTCTTTGGGAGCTTTGGGTTCCTCCAAAGTTCAAATAGTTTGCATGGCAGGTCTTGGATGACTCTATATCCTCAACGGAAAATTTAGAGAAAAAAGGCGTGATAATGCAGGGAGGTTGTAAACTTTGCGGATCCGAGGAGGAGTCACTGGATCATGCAGTCCAAACTCCAAACATGTGTCCATGTCCGTAAAACCTGGCAGCAGGCGGGGATCGAGATCAAGCAAACTTCGGCTCCAGTGAAGGACTAACTTAGGCATCAGGTTGAAGCACCCGACAGAGAAGCATGATGCAGGTTTATCTCCATTCTAGGGAGGGTTTGGAAGAGCAGTAACAGCCTGTTGTGGAAAGAACAATGGCAGGGGACGACCGGGGTGCTAAACGCCGCTGGTGGTATGCTTTCGAGCTGGATGGAGGCACAGACGAGATTACCTAAGGAAATGTTATATAATTCATAGTGATGTTTAAAAGAGTTTAAACATATTAATCAAGGTGTTTAGGTTTACGTGAACTAATATAGTATATTATGCATGTTTTCCCCTTGAATATTATGCATGTAATTGAATAAAAATGCATATAAAAATATATGTTATGTTTTGAATAGCCAAAATGGTATAAAATGATGTTTTGAGTTTCGTAACAATCGGGCTTGAATTGGGTAGTCGACGCCGTTGGATGAATAGCCCAGGCATTGATCGGCGCCGGTCAAACCTTGAACCGGCGCCGGTTTGGAGTCTGTCAGGCGGTTTACAAGGAATTTCATGGAATATAATATTTAAATGCTAAGGCCTTGATATTTGATGATTAAATGCTAAGAAGCTGTTCTCTTCGCCTGATCTGAATGTTTCTGATCTGAATTTTTTAAGTTCTGATCTGATCTGAATTTTTCTGATCTGATCTGATCTGATCTGAATCTTTCTGATCTGACCTGATCTGATCTGAATCTTTCTGATCTGATCTGATCTGATCTGAATGTTTCTGATCTGGTCTGATCTGATCTGAATGTTTCTGATCTGACCTGAATCCTTCTGATCTGATCTGAATCTTTCTGATCTGATCTGATTCGAATATTTCTATGATTATAATTATAATTATAATTATAATTATTATAATTGCAATTAAAAATATAATTTAAAAAAATTATAATTATAATTGTAATTATAATTACAATATTTATCTCTATAATTGTAACTATAGTTATCAATATTATGATAATTACTCCGTAAAATAATTACAATAGTAATAATAATAATAATAATAATATTAATTATAATAAAAATAATAATTATAATCATAAATTATAGTTATAATATAATTATAAGTATAATTATAATTATTATAATTATAATTTATAATAATTATAATTATATTAACATTAATTATAATATTATAATATAATAATAGTAATATAAATACAATTAATATTATTATAACGATATTATTATATTAATATTTTTATTACAATAATATAATAATAATAATATGATTATTATTATAATTAGTATTATATTATTATAATATTATATTATAATTATAATTATAATCATAATTATAATTATGATTGTAATTATAATTATAATTATTATAATTATAATTAA